GCAGGGCTGCTGCACGGCTGGGGCAAAGGTAAGATAATGGCTGAGGACAGCTGACTCCAACTCATTTAACTAAATAAAGACTGTAGCAGCAGGCATTTCACCCTGTAGTGAAATGCAATGTGGAGTTTTTTTCCTAAGATACTTCCCCTAAATTAACATAATTTGTGACTTAGAAAATTCCTTGAACCACTTCCAAGGTCTGTTCAATTTCCTGTGTTTTCTACTCTAACCTCCTAGATAAATACAGGCTATTCAGAAACATTCCCTGTCTTAGCCACTAGAATCCCCAAACTCTGTAGAGGGGTTTGATCCTCCCGGAGCCCTAAAGTCATACCACTTATTTCATTTATTTAAGCCTTTGCTGTATATTTGTTTGGGAGATTGGGGATCTAGGCCAGGTCCCTGATACATGAGAGAGCATTAAGGGAATGGATTGGTTAATTCATTCAAGCATCTATTCTTCCCTCAGAAACAAAAAGCAGTGGCTGGCCAGGCACAGTGATACACATCTGTAATCCTAGCACTTCGGAGGCTGAAGTGGACTGTGGTGAGTTTGGGGCCATCCTGGACTACATAGTCAGGCACTGTCTTAAAGAAAGAAAGAAAGAAAGAAAGAAAGAAAGAAAGAAAGAAAGAAAGAAAGAAAGTAAGAAAGAAAGAGAAATGCAAGCAAGCAGATTAGAATGCAAAATAGCAGATTAGAATTTGGAATTTTAACTTTTCTGGTCCAAATTTAGGGTCCTTGCACAGAATTTGTTATTTCTTCCCCTTAGTGCAGTCTTTGCTCAGACACCCCACAACAGAGACAGTTCGTGAATGCCCCGTGACTTCTTTGTTAAATACAAAGGCCTTGTATTTAACAGCTCACACTTTTTTTCTTCCTTCTCTCTTTAAGGGTAGCACAGAGCAAGAGTGCCAGGAGACATCCAAGTCTCGCCGAGGGCTTGGCCTAATCTCGGGAGAGCAAAGAACTTCTGCCTTTTTGTGAACTCATTTGGATGCCCTAAAGGATTGGTTGAAACTTCATTCATTAAATATTTTTAAAGTCATCAAGAAAAATATTAATACCAAGAAGAAAAATTAAGGATATAAATATCTCCCCAAGTTATACGAAGAAAATAAAAATTAGCTAATATTTATATTGAAATATTTAATCACGATCTTAAAACTACACACCCCTTTCAAATGCCTTGAAAGTTAGTAAAAAACCTAGAGGACAGAATCAATGCATGGCTGGTGAGTATGTGGGCTCCTGGCACCCTCATGCTAATTACCTCTGGAGGGCAAGACGCACATGTCTGAAATCATCAGTAGCCTTTGTCCAAGAAATTCCAGCTGTAGAAGGGATCCCAAGAAATGCACAATTGCCCAAATTGGAAAAAAAAAAAAAAAAAAAAAGGATTGTGCAAATTACAATCTGGCCATACATGGAATTTTATGCATCTATTGAAAACATTTTGAATTACTAACATAGAAGAATGCTTGGCACATGTGAAAGACAGTCTGCTAAACCAGCTGGTAGGGTGGTGTCTCATCACAGTATCTCTGCCTGTGGATACCTGTATCTGTGTATGGAGTGTCGCAAAGTCTGGAGGAGCATGTGCCAAGTTAGAGGGTGCAACTGTGTGCATTCCTTTCATTGCCTCCACTTTTGCCTACATCTCCTGACTGTTCTACCGCAACTGCTTATTATTTGAGAATCTGAACTAATGACAGCCTTTAATGCGCCAGTAGTATTTGCACCACTGGAGTCAGGAAGAGGCTGCTCCCCCCACCTTCTCCTGTTTATCACAGCAGTGCAGGCATATTCTTCTCTCGAGCTGGAAGCCCTGTTTAGCAGGCATGTGCTGGTCCTGCACTCCAATACTGGAGCACGAGGGCTTGGCTTTGTGGTTGGCACTGGGATTCCCCCCGCCCTATCTGCCTGCACTACACACCTCGCAGCACTAAATCAGAAATCAAAACCAGCAAGGGCATCACATAAGTCTACATTGTTCTGCCTCATGCTTCATGACTCCTCAGCGAGAAACAGCGATTCAACAGTGTAAGCAGGAGAATCAGAGGCATCCGTTCATAATCCAACCTAAAAATAACGCTCAGCAAAGCCAATGTATGGTGAATTAGAATCAGATGAGCATCTGGAAAATGTGAACTGAAGGGTGGGCAGACAGAATGGAAAATCTGTTAACTCTACAGGTTTTTGTTAGAAAATGATTTAAGAAATTTTGTGTGTATGGGTGGCAGCTCACGTTTATGACTGTCCTGAGGTCTGTAGGTCACATAGTAACCAAGGACAGGCTCTGTGATCAGATGGGCCAGGGTTGAAATCTTGGCCGTGTTGCTCCCAGTTTGTTAAGAGCTCCTCTATAAATGGGACTTTGCAGGGGTACTGTGGAAATTAAATGAGGTAATGAATTAAAATGGGTCTTGAGTGATGAATTGAGGTGGGTATTCGGCAAGTACTGGTTTAAACATTACTATTAATACCAGAGCTCATATTTTAAGACAAGGCTTGAGGGCTCACTGATTAGGGGTGTGGGGCGAATGAAGCTTGCTTTGGAAGAGTTGGATGTCTCATTAGAGCTGTTTCAATGCTAAAATTTCACCATCTTAGGACCTAGGTCATAACTGGTATTTCAAAGAGAAATGAACTTATTTATATCCACTATATCACAAGGGGAGGGCCTCTTTTTTCCTGTTGTATTTTTTCAAGTAAAGATAGCGCTATCATTTGGATCTCAAAGGTTTCCCTGAAGGACAAAGTAAAGGCTTGGTCCCCAACATGGCTGTACTGGGAAAATCGTTAAGGAGGTAGGCTTTGTGGGAGGTTTTTAGGTCACAGACTATGGGTTTCCACTCCGTCTTCTTTCTCCCCGTTTCCTCTCTCTTCCTTTTTCTTCTTTTCCCTTTTTGCACATGCTAGGCAAACTCTTAAGACTGAGCTATATTCCTAGACCTTTTTTTGGAGATAAGGTCTTCCTAAGTTGCCCAGTCTGACCTCCAACTTATGATCCTCCAGTCTTAGCCTCCTGAGTGACTGGGATTTCGGGCGTAGGGCACTGCACGTGCAGCCTTTCAATAAGTTGAGCATTTCAAGGGTTACAGTGATGGGAAGATGACTAAAACAGATGGGTAGCATGTGAACATTCACGACTTGCTTCATCTTGCCCGTAGCTTCTTCCTATCTGTTTGTTCCCCTGGATGTGAAGGCCCTATCCAGTACATGGCTGCTGGGAATGGGGCTCAGAGGTGTGTTCCTTCCATCTCCCCTGAAGGGCCCACCGGCAGGGGCTAGCATGACTCTGGGAATTATATCAAAAGACTGCCAGATTTGAGAAGTGCTCATTATTATGACCAACTAATAAGAAACAAAATTAGACAAAGTGGTTCTTCTCTATTTGGCAGTGTCAGGGCTGAAGAAGGGCTGGATGGGTGTAGACTCGTGTCTCAGTTCTGTGGCACGCAGGTGCCTAGAGGTGGCTGAGCTTTGACCAGGCCAGGCTAGACTCCTGGCTCTGACCTGGTGTGACCGTTTGTTAGATGTTTTGAATACATCAGGCTTGGCTACTTCTGAGAAAGCTTAATGCTCAGCTCATGGGTGCTGGGAATCCAACCTCAACTGCCACAAGGGTCCTTATCTTTTCCTCAATGAACAATAAATAGTAAATGGGAGCAAGCAAAAGGGAGTATTTCCAGGAGCCTGGCACTGCTTTATATGAAGGTTTCCAAATAGACCATTTCTGACTGCCTGGTGTACACAGACCCCCAACGTCTGTGGTTTAGCACCAAAGGCATTTCCCACACTGATTTCCCTCTCAGTGCAGTCCAAGCTGTTCTAAGCGCACCAGCAAATCTGCTCATAGGCATTCAGGGACCAGCCGCCTTCTGCTGCCTGCCTGTCACCTGAGGGTGCTGTGCATTTAACTGTACAGGGCTGGTTTCCAGCCAGTCAGAAGGACTGAGAAGGTGAAAGGGGCCCTGTCTCGAGAGTCCTGGCCTGAAAATAGCATGCACCCCTCTGCTTCTACCTTCCAGATGAGGACTCAGCACTTGGCTGGATGCAATGGAGAGGGCCTGGGATCTGAACACAGGTCTCCGCCGGGTGGCTGTGTGGCCAGCTACGACCCTATGCTTACTGTCCAGAACAGAATTCTAGTGTACAACTAGGAGCTGTTATTGGAAAAGTATTTTCTTGTTTCTTTCTACTTTATAGAAACACTGTAAAATGGCTACAGAATCTTACTTCAGCCAAACAAGGAAAAAAATCAATTTTACATAAAAATGTCAGTGCTGCATTAATAGATCTGAGGAAACCTGAGAGATCATGTGTTTGCACGACACCCTGTGACCCTAAGAGTTCATGGGCTCGCTGCTTCAGCCGTCCCCAGAAGGCAGGGCAATCTCCCACTCCCCGCAGTTAACCAATCTTTGTGGGAAAAATAAACACGTGAAATCCAAACATACCAAAACAGTGCGATTTAAAATTACACCGTGCGCTCCTCTCCCCCTCTGTGAGTTAAGAGAAGCAGCGGGATAGATTCTGAGAGCTAACTGCAGTAGCTTTCATGCTGATGGAGAATGAGCCTCTGGTCTCAACGCTGACCCAAGGCCCAGGAAGTCTGGACAAACCCACGAATGACATTTGGCATTTCTGCTTTGATTCCCCGGGAATCAAAAGAGTCTGTCTGACCTATGCTGTGCCTTACTTAATTAGGTCCTTTTAAAAAATCAACACCGCAGCACTGTTTTGAACTCAGCTCCCAGATGTGAAAAGTGTATTACGTGGCACATGAACACTTGCAAAAGCTTCCAAGGGCTGAAAATCTATGACAAAGGACTAGGCTAAGGGAAAAAAGTGAATGTTTTGCCACCATTTAGAACCGGAGAATAACTGAAAATAAGACTGTTCCATCATTTGTACATTCAAAATAAATTCTTACTATGGTGTAGGAAATCCATGCCACCCCAAACAACAGTGAACCAAAATAAACTTAGTGACCTTTTTAAAAAAGATTACAAAATTGAATTTATTGAGTTTCACACAAGATGCACTTATAAAATTAGTACTGAATGCCGTTATGACAGAAGAAGTGAGTATCATCCCATACTCCGGACAGCATCTGCGAAGGAAATCAAAGTCTCCTGAAAACAACAGCCCAGTAACAAGGTAATTCAAGCGGAACCGAAAGAGATACCCGAACCATGTTCTTGCTCTGAGCAGGGCTGTATCTAGCAAACCCCTCTCCAAACTATTCCTATTCACAATGAACACTGTTCCTTTTGCTGGTGAAAAGGAGATGAAAAAAAAAAAAAAAGTAGACTTAAAATGAGGGGGGAGTCCAATGAAATGTATATGAAACAATTCAAATCTTATGTTTCAACTTAAACATATTTCCTGGTTTCACAAGGCATTTCTGTACAATCTCTTTGACATCAATCTTTAAATTTCTTTAATGGGTGCAAAATGCTAACATTCACTTTTGTATTTCCAAGGAACAAGCCAAAGCATGAAAGCTTGGTATACTTTCCCAGGAATCTGACGACACTGAACACTGGCCTTCTGCACAGAGGAGCCTGAACCTGCTGTGTGAGGCTGGACTGCAGCCTCCAAACACCAAAGCCAACAGTACCACCATCTGGACAGTTCTAAAGCCAGAGCGGTAACAATTTTTATAGAAATGCAGGAAGAATTCTCAGGACAAAATGGGGCAGAAATAACTTGTCCTGCGATGCAAGCCGTGAAGTAGTGCCAAAGCAGAAACGGAACCCTGATCACAAAGGAAACCTGGAAGCACCTTGCGGCTGCTGCTCCGGTCATCCACACTCTAGTGCCCCCGCTGGACACGCGTCTGCGGACCCCGAACACGGGGGCTGGCTTCCATATGAGGCCCTGCCTGGTGTACGTCTGCTGCTGCTCCCTCCCCACACGGGACACCGGTCTGTGGGACAGGGGCCCGCCGACATCCCGGGGAGGAGGAAGGCACTGCACAGCGTAAGCCCCAGCCAGAGGATGTTGCTCAATCCATCTGGAGTATTTAAAACTTACTTTCAAAATCCAGTTAAAGTTGACAGTTTTGAATTTCTTACACTCACAATTTCTCAGCCTATGAGCACCCAATCCTTTAGCTGTCAACAATCAATGAAGAATTAATTTTAAAGCAAATCCAGTTAACCATACCTTAAAGTTAGCACTGTTGTTTTTTCAGTTATAAAATGCCTTTCTGTACTAAAATTCCTATCTTACTCACTGCAATTATATATTACTCAACTCACATTTTGCTTTAGAAAGTAAACTGAAAAATAATGAAGTATTTTCTCAGCGGTGAATAACTTTAAATTTTTTTTTTTGTTTTAAATAAATGAACTGGCATAGGGCTTTTAAAAATTATTTCTATGAAATGCTGTTATTCATTATGTCCCGTTTAAGGTAGCCTTTTATTTTGATTCAGATGTATCTTTAGGATATTCTGGTGGTGAGGACACTTATCTTGACTTATGTTTAATTTTTTGATGCTTTGGCAGGTGAAGGCTGGAAAATGCTTGTGAAAACAGCGTGAGTGGAAGGTGTTTCACGGTAGAAGCTTCACAGTTTCCCAGGTAGCTCCACACATTGAAGAGGCCTTGGGCAAGCTCGTCGCTCCCTTGAAGCCCAGGCTGAGGTGGCAAAGAGCTCCAGCCACTGCCGCCGCCTGGCCCACTCCACCAGTCGCCGCCGGCTTCCCAGAGTCAAGGCTGAGGTCACCGGTGCTCTGTGATCTGACCTTCAGCCAGACCACATCACTGGAAGAAACAGACTAAGATTTGCTTGCCATTAATAATTTAAGTTTTTAAATAAATATTTAAGTGCCATCCCGGCACCTGTCTGTCCAGGCGGCAACATGTGCTGCCCAGGGTCCAGCAGCCTCAGCATACAAGCCACAGGCGTCAGTCAATCCGGTTTCCACAGATTGTGAACCTGTCTATCTCTAGCAAATCTTTCTTTGAGGATCTGTGTTTTAATTCGGAGCTGTCCTGTGTTATGTCCTTTTCATCACCATCTGGAGTCGTCAGAAATTGATCAGAATTGCTGGTCACAAGTAATGGTGTGACATTTTCCTTCTGAAGAACAGGCTGGCTGGTGACTGAAGCAGACAGGTTTTCTTCTGTGGAAAGGCCTGCGGAAAAGCAGATGCACTGAGTTAGCAGATGACCCCCTCAGCTTAGCAAGTGCAAGAGCGCATCAGTGCTCCTTCTTCAGCTGTACCAAAAGAAGTGTCATCATCTTCCCTCTTAAATAATCCAATAGCCAACTGCAAGCAGCCTGGCTTCACTGTTGGCTCACTCAGGATTTTACAGAGGGGTATGGTGGATCACACAGACAACACCGGCATCCAATCCTGAAAAGTCCGCGAGTCCTCTAGCATAGCACTGTCCCATGCAACCACACTCTCCTGTGGCTGCGGCCAGGTCTGAAACACCAGCTCCCTACTCAGGACTTCAGGTCAGTGCTGAACACGCTCTAGTGCTTCCCACCTCCTTCCCAGTAGCTGTAGCAAGGCTGAGTCTTATGCCTACTTCTGGAGTTTCCCAATCAGAGGGAAAAACAACCAACCTAACTAACTGCCCAGCGTTTGTTTCAGGCCACAGGAATCCAGCAGCCCAGCCTTTGGACACTTCAGCCGGCCCGGACTAACCGATCTCTAACTGTACATTTAGTCCTTTGAAGCATGGCTTTTCAAGCTGAGAGTGCAGTGTCGCATGCTGCATCCATTTAGGATGAGTTCTGCCATGTATGCCTGCTGCTGAAACTACTGCCACTGAGGGGCGACAATCACGCCTATCTCTCCGGGACCCCGCTGTCTCCTGTGTTTTGGAATGTGATGAACCTGACACTATCCTGAGCATACCCCGCCCTGCCTCACCTCACCATCCTCCCAAGTAGTCTCCAGCCTGTGGTCTCCTGACCTGCAAGATGCCCCTCCCAACCACTTGTCCTAGGCATACTCCCTGTCACAGGAGTCCTGGTCCTCGTCCTGCAGCACATGCTTCAAGGTTTTAGCCCTGACCGACTCCTGAAAGTGAGACTGGCACTGAGTGCTGTCTTTGTGAGTAAGAGCACAGCCGCAGATCCGCTGGTCAACGAAAACGTGCCAGCTCCACTCCCTGGACTGCACTTACATGCGCCTCATAACGAGCAAACTGTCTGCAGCTTTCTACGTCACTCTACTTTAGCTTCGGGTCAAGCACATGTGGTGAGTATGGCCTTGTTTCCCTGGAAGCTCGGGTCCAGCTCGTCTCCTTTGATCTATCCAAGTTACACTCTGCACTGAGCCGTGAGCTCCCTGCACTTCTTAGGCACCATGAGTAACCTGTCTGCTTCTCACCTTTGGATGTAGCTGAGGCAAGGTCCTTTCCTCGTGACCACTGCGATGCCTACTGTATCATCTCCCCAGGGGAAAGGAGGCCCTAAGCCATCACTCATGTGACCTGGCACACAGCCCCTCTGTGACCCAGCACATGGCAGCTCCAGACATACAAATAAACCATGTCGAGGAGTTTTCCAAACAAATCCCTAAGTGAAAGGAGAACTGTCATCCTTTGTTGACACTGTCATCCTGCGTTCTGTGCATCCACGAGTGACGAGTTTGTCAGAACCCCAGTTCCTCCTTCATCCCATTCACGCAGAAGCCCTGGAATCATCCTTCACTTCTCTCTTCCTCTCACCCCCGATCATCAGCAGACCCTGTGACCTGATCTTCAGATCTACCCAGAATCCAGCCTGGCCTCCTTGCTGCACCACTTCTGGCTGCTGCATCAGGCAGATCTGCAGGTCCCTGCCACCTTCCACAGGGCTCCAGAAGGACACCGTGCTGCTCCTGGGTTCCAAGCCCTGTGCCCATCATGGCGGCATCAAGGCCAACATTTTCAGGACGGCCTGCAGGCCCCTGGGTAACCTGCAGCTCTCTGTGGCCCCTCACCCTGCTCCAGCCCCCGTGGCCAGGGTGCCGACATCCTAGCCCTTGGACTTCGCTGTCCTCCAGGACAACACGCAGCGCTGCTCAGTGCCACCGTCTCAGCAGGCCGCCCCTCCCTGACCCTGCCACGCTGTACAGCCTCGCCCTGCTGGCAGGATGGGCGCTTGCCTGTCCCCGCTCTAGACGTTCAGGGCCCCTGCCCTTTCCCTTGCTCCTGGCATGTAACCAGCGCTCCATACCCATCTGAACAACAAAGGAACAACTGTGAAAATTCCTGCACTGTGTTCTGTGCATCCATGATGACAACTAAAATGCAACCACTAAAATCCCCACATGGCAAGTGAAGGGAACCAAGGCTTCGAAGCACTGAGAAGTGTTGACTGAAAGCTAAGTTTTATCAGGAAGTGTTCAGATGATTAACTTGAAAATGGTTCAGGGAAACACTGGAAAGAACCCGACGTACCTTGTGAGGATTTACATTTGCTCTGCGATTTGCTGGATGATTTGCCTGGAGTGCTGGTTGGGGGAGGATTAAACAGCTTTTCTTCCATCTTGGCTTCCTTCACATATTGGCACGATTTCCCCAACAGCACAATGCTGTTAAGTATTTTCAGGGAGATCAACCTACAACCAGAAACACAGAAACAGGCACTGCTGGGGTTCGCAGGTGCCTCTCTGGCCAACGACAGGCATGCGGCGTGGGAGAATGGGGCAGCCCAGGAGTTGGGGGGCCTAGACTGAGGGGCACAGGCTCCTCACACAAAGCCTGTGCTTCCCGGGTTTTTTTATCCAGAGGAAAAACTTCTGACAAATTCCTCAGCTCTCACAAGAAACTCCTAAACATTTAGGAGTTGTCCTGGTATTTAATTACTTAATGTTTACTTTCTTATTACACAACACACACTCGGTACATATAGAGCAGTCGGTCAGTCACAGGCAGGAGGAGGGAGCACCTGTGGGGACAGGGCACCTGCTGGGGTCAAGGGTCTCGGTGGGTCCTGTGGGACCTGGACAAGCTCCTCACCCAGGGGAGCCGAGCAAGGTGCTCAAATCAGTGCTCAGCCAGGAAATGTGCGGCACATCTGTTCAGTGTTCCACTATGCTGGTGTCAGTTACGCCCTCATACAGTAAGGGTGCGTCTTTCCATGTCAGTTAAAGGTTTTTAGTGACAGACATTATTATTATTTTTTTGGTACCGAGGATAAAAAAATAAGCAGGCACTTATGCCACTGAGCTAAATCCTCAGCCCTGATAGACATTATTATAAGTAGGCTTAAAAATGTTTAATTCAGACTGGGCATGGTGGTACATGCCTGAAATCCTAGCCCTCCAGGAGGCTGAGGCAGGAGGATCTCAAGATGGAGCCCAACCTGGGCAATTTAAGGACTCAGATCCCGTCTCAAAATGAAACGTCTGGGAATACAAGCCAATCTGAAGGCTGTGGACTTAATTACCTGTGCCATAAAAAGAATAAAAAAAGAAAGAATGTTTAACTTTATGGGTCAGCAAAACCCCAAAGGCCCTACTTCTTCAGATTTCAAGTATTTTGCTTCTATTAAGTTTCTGATTAAGAAAATTTATGTCAAATCTGCATTTCCTTAATTAAGATAAATTGCTAGACATCTGTACTTATAGAAGTAGAATTTTTGGATTAAAAGATATTTAATGTTTTAATGCACAAGATATAAATCTGACAAAAAATTCTGGAGGAAAAAGCTGTCACTGGCATCTTGCTCATGCTCTGAATATAAAACAGTAGGCTTTAAATGATACACAAGGAGGCTCTGTGCCAGTGGGAACATGTGGAAGAGGTGGGCGGTGGCCTGTGGGCCCTGTGCCATCCCCTCCTGCACCCCATAGCTCCCATCAGGTCTGGGTCTGGCATCCCCTCCACCAGCCACGTGCTTCCCAGGCAGGCGGGCAGGCAGGTGTTCATCCTACCCAGCCGATCAGGCAGGCGACAGCTCAGGCCTCCTTTCCTCAGTTACCATGTTTTCTTTTCAACACTTATGGTCAGCTATCCCTTGAGAATGCGTTGCTTTCCCAGCTGATGTCTATTTGGTCCCTAGAATGTCTGTGACACCAGGCCAGAGCCCTCCTCTGGCTTCTGACTGACCCTTGGGCCCCAGCAGTGCCAGAGGACTGGGTGGACGCAGGGTGGCCAGGCCAGCGTCCCTCTCCTGTGGGCCACAATGAGTAGGGGAGCGGCTGGGCATGGTGGGAGAAGCAGAGTTTGGATGCCGGTGGGATTACTGAATAAAAGTCCACAAGGAGAAGGTGGCTTTGAGAAAGTTTGTGAAGCAGAGAGAATAATTTGGGAATTACTCAGAGACATGGAGTCAGAATAATCAGGATGCGGAGAGACAGATCAGCAGCCTGGTCAGGATGGACCAGGCAGGTGGAGAAGGGCTAAGACTGGAGGTGAGAGGTGAGTAGGAGGGGTCAGTAATTCAACCAGAACCACCTGCTGGGTGAATTGTGCTCAGGCGCTAACTAAACAGAGGCTTCCAGGCAGCTCTATATACGTGTCACTTTCGGTTCGGTTATATATAAAAATGCTGTAACAATTAGCTTAGTAAGCCAAGACAGGAGCAATTACAGTAGTTTCACATGACACATACAGTACACTGCAAGGGACTCCAAGCAGTGGTGTAGGAACATGCACCAGAATGTGAGTGTCTCATGACTTTTAATGTCAAAACAATGAAACAGACAATATGATACAGCACCACGGTTGGAAAATGGTTTGCCCCCGTCAAGAGCCACACTGAAATTGAACTCCCATTAGAAATGAAAGTGGGTGACCTCCACAGTGGCCTGCCGTGAAAGCTTAGCTGTGGGGTCTGGCATTCACTCCCACCTTGCCTTGGGAGGCCTGGACTCTGCCCGCGAGAAGGCGTAATTGGAAGTGGCTGCCTCATTACAGAACAGGACCATGTGCCAAAATCGAAGCTTTCTTAATAACTTACCCATGTGACACGGTATTATTAACAACAGCAAAAGGACTGAGCATCTACTTGAGTGGGAAAGGGCAGGCTCTGCACCCGGATCAGTGTTATACCTTGCTGGGGGCATCACTGCTGTCCACATGGCCTGGACGTGGCTCCAAGGGCCAAGGCAGGCAGTGCTGCAGGGCCGGGAGGCACATTCCCAGCTTGGCACACACAGAACTGGAGCGCAGGCAGTGAGAAGGAACTGTTCCCTGGCTGCTTTGACATGCAGCGTTCTGAGCATCTGCCACGAGCCAGTGGTGTACAGGCACCAGGGGGACAGAAAACACTCCGACATGGAGCCCCAGGGCCCGGCTCTGAGGGAACCCACGGCCACTGGCTCCCCGCTTGCCTCCCTCTGAAGAGCATGCATCTGAGTCCTCTCCCGGCTCAATCCTCTCTCTAACTGCCACGCACCCCACAGGAGCCACAGAGAGATCAGGCTTCCCAGGCTTCTACAGTCAAATAACTCAAAGCCAGGCTGAAGTGCTCTGTCATTGGTGTATTTCTGGAGGAAACTAATGCTGGTATGTTGCTTTCTTCTCATCTTTGTGACTATCTTAGGTGTTTTAGTTACTAACTTCCTGCTTGTCTCCCCCAGCGAGAACAGAAGCCACTCAAGACTCACAGGTGTGAAGGGGAAGCTTAGCCTGCCGTGGGCCTACCGCGCCCCCACGATTAACACGGCACACGCCGGAAGGTCCAAGGCGGCTTTAGGCAGAAGAACGTCTGACTACAGTGGCTTCTTTTCACAGGAGTAAGCACCCAGAAAAATGAAACCTTAGGCAAAAACAAAACCAAACAATGTAAAAAGAGGGTTTAAAGTAAATAAGACCTAAAGGTCACAGAGTGGGTGAAGTATGATTTAGGTGTTAGTAAGTTCCATTATATCCTATATGTGTACTCTAACATTAAAACATACACAAGAATAGCTGACCTTACCCAAAATAGAAGAGTATGACGCAGGCATAGGACAGGATCCCTTGCACTTTAATGGAGCTTGTTACGACTCTGATGAGCTGGCCAAAAACAAACCAAAACAAAACACAGATAAAACCCAAACCAGAGTTAACAGTTATTCACTTACGAGATTTCCCCATGATTCTTGGGCATTCAGGTCACACACGTGGCCTTGACCTCGCTCAGATAGCGCAGTTCTGGACACGTCAGTGGGCACCAAAGCCGGCCTATGAGCAAACCCTCTGTGTGGGATCTGGTCTGCTTGGGGAAATCAGGACCCAGCGGGACTGCTGCTGACTGAGGTCAGCTGCTACCCTGAGGGCACCTCTGCCAGCACCCAGCAGGGGTGCGGTCAGTTCACTGCTGGAAGAAACATCTGGAAAGGACACAGGAACGCTCTGCAACACATGTCCCTAGCAGAGCTGAAAGCAACTGCTGGCTGTTCATTCCCCTTATTTTTGCTTTTTTCCTTATAAAGTTTTTGCTGTTTAAAAAACTAAAATACTATTAAAACTCAGTTACCTAAAAATCAGAAAACTTCTGTCACTTCTGGGTAATTACAGAGAAGACTCACTGTCATTTTATCTTAGAGAACTACAGGAATGACAGCACTGTCCTCAGAAGCCTGCTGAATCAGTCTGGGGACACCAGCCGTGGGAAAATGGTCACACAAGCACAGCTGTGCCTCTGCGCTGAGGTCTGGAGAGAAGACCGCAGGCAGGATGAGAACTGGGGACAGGCATGGGCCTTCTCCACAGTGTTCCGAAGTGGAAACGTCTAGAAGGGTGCCTTAGACACTAATACACATCTTACGAGAGTTTATAGAAAGACTTTTAATAAAAGACTTGCAATGAGGTAGCAGGAGTGGATTATTGTGTATCTGACAGCTTCAACAGGAGAAAACTGACATGGGAACCCTTGCCTACACAGACAGCCTCCGGTAGGAAAGTGACTGTTCTTATTAAACCAGGGCTTTTTTTCTTAAAAAAAAAAAAAAAAAAAAAAAAAAAACAGGTAATCTAAACTGAATGTATCATGTTTTCAGTTGTAGAAAACAAATGTAGAAAAATTTAATATTCTACCAATGTCAACATTTACTAAGAAATTTTACTCGTTAAAATGCTCTATATTTCCAAAATACTACGAATTCTTTTACCCAAGCAAAAGAAACCTGCATTACTACAAGATAATGAGCTATTAATATAATTGAAAATATTTAGGATGTGGTTATCTGGAAAGTCACACTTAAAATTAAGTAACATTAAACCTACTAATAATCCATCATCTACAAAAAGTTGGGCAAGCTGGTCCAACACACAGCTAGAATGCCCTGTGACCTCCTCAGACATTCTTTAGTTGATCTCTAGAAGGCTGTTTCTATAGGAGAGCTTGAGATGTCTAGCGAAAAGACGGTTTCATTAGTTTTGATGCAAGGACAGATAGCCCCGGAGGAACAGAATCACATGCAGATACTGTTGATAAATCTTTACATTTTTGTATTTTTTTGAGACAGGAAATCTCTATGTAGTTCAGTCTGTCCTCAGGCTTGCATCTTCCTGTCTCAGCATCTTGAGTGCTGGGATTACAGGTGTGTCACCACTCCTGACACAGTCACCAAATCTTAATTAACAAGATTATAGCCTGATGTGGCTAGTAAATATCTGCAAGGCTGTTCTGAGAATTCATTCAAATACAGTATTTGAGGGTGAGAACCTTCTCTTGGGTGGATTTAAATTTCAGGACTATTGTTACTTTAAAAAATATAAGCTATTTTTTTAAACATACCAGTAGGAATTTTCAATGTAGAAATGTTGGAAAAAATTTTAAAAATGGTAATTCAATAAATACCAAGGACATCTTCATTTGGGCATATCCTACTTTAACGTAACAGGTTTTTACATTTTTACTATCAATGTCCCTGCAATGCTTAGCTTTGTCCATCAATCACTGTGTGTCTTTTATGATAACTTCCATCTAAGAAATTCCTAGAACTGGAATAACTGCATCAAAGCATCACAATGTCAAACTAGTCTCTAGAAACACTGAATTAATGCACACGGTCACCACTATGTGTTCTGGGGGATATATTAATGCCTATTACCAAGTATACCCATCAAAAAATAATTATTTTATTATCTTTGCCAAATGAATAAGCAAGAGCTTTCTCACTGTTAGGAAAGCAATGTACATAAACAATTCTTTAATATTACCTATCTACTTGATGGCTCAAAACTCAAAAGAAAATGCTATAATTTAAAGCAAATTTTCCTTTCATGTTAGTTACCATCAAATGTTGTATTAAGTCCTTTTAAAATAATTTTGATAATCCAGTTATTAATGTTCTATAATGATTATCTCCTTAAAAAAAAAAAAAAACAAACAAACAAGTACAGACTTACTAAAACAGCTAGTGGGAGAGGAATAAAGCCCATTCTCCGTGCTACAGAGTCGCTGTAATCAGTATATGCCTGCAGAGGAAGGGGAAGAAGATTCAGAGGTACAGGAATTAACCAGCATTTAAAAAGTACTTGTATTTACTCATTACCAGTGAATGTTCTAAACAGCTGAGGCTTCAAGCAGGAAAAACACCTGGCATCTGTTGGATAATTTAGTAAAATGATGTGGAGATCTTAGTGTTCATAAAATGTTTGAAATACGTAATTGTGGAATTGTAACTATGATGCAAAAATCACACATTATATAACAGCACTGTTAGTAAATATTTAATGTGTCTCACAGAAATGGACAGAAAATTCAGGTTTTAATTACAGTATAATTTTAATTAATTATCCCTTGCTAAATTTAAGCACTGTTCAGTTAACTTCAGCCTATGTTTTCAATAAAATACTTACATTTTTCTGTCGGCTGCTAACAAGATCAAAAGCAAGACTGGCTCTATATTCACTGTAGACCTAAAGAAAAATAAGAAAGAAATAGTAGACCATCTAGTGCAAATATATAATGTGGAAAGATGTACTCAGCACATAAAAATGTTTAATAATTAAACAAGAACTGATGCTAAACCAAGCAGACGTCTGGAGATGGTTCCTCTGCCACCCTGTAGAGCACAGCCTCGACTCTTCTGAACTGTACATTCAGAACTTCTTCAAAAAGATTTCTTTTCAGAGAGGAATAAATATTCAATGACCACAATTGGGAGAGTTTTGGGAACAGTGGCTAGTGTAAGTAGTGTCTTATATAAGAATTGTTTTGAAATTTTAAATTAAATGAAAACCCTAAAACTAATTAACATTGTATTTCCAAGTATAACAATAACATCTTAGAAAAATGGTCAGTAACAACGAGTAGGATAGAAAACTAAGGTAGGGAACACAGTTGTGTCATTGTAGCAGTCACAAGGTGACTTACAAAATTGTCATTTCCATTAAAAAACCGCAAGTAACCCCTTAACTGAACCTATTAATTATGTCAGGTACTGAGAAAAATCAATCTATGAAAAGGGAATCATTTTGTATTGAGGAAGCCAAAGGGCAAAATGAACTCATGTTATCAATGCTTTATAAAAAAGCACAAAATTGTATTTTTCCTAGTGAAAGTGGTTAGAAATTCATAATGAAGTAATCAGTTTAGTTTGTGTAACAATTTTGGAGGTATGCTCATTTTCACTATATTGGTTCTTCCTACACAAGAGCAAGAGCTATCTTTCTACTTTCTATTATCCTCTTTAAACACTTTTTCCAGAGAACTGCAGTTTTCAATAAAGATCATTTACTTCTTTCATTAGATTGATTTTCAGGTTTTTTGGATGCTATTGTAAAAGGTGGTGCTTTCCTACTTTCTCAGTGAGTTTGTTATTCATCTACAGGAAAGCTATTGATTTCTGAGTGCTGACTCTGTATCCAGCTAAACTACTAAATTGGGTTAATAAGTCTAGCAGTATTTTGGCAGAGTTTTTGGAGTCTTCTATGTAGAGTATCATGTCATCCGCAAATGACTCTTAGCAACTACAACTGCATTGTATTTTAAATCTTTGAAATTAAAACAGTATCAGTGTAACTTTATTAAAAGTACAACTCAATAAGATCTAGAAAGCTGATACTTTGGGACTGAGGCAGAATGAGGAATGTATGAGGATGTTCTGCTATGGTTTACTACACACGCAAGGAACCCAAACCTCTATCCTGATTTCTGTACTCTCCTCAGAATATGGTTACGACATAAAAGAAATCCTTCAAAGTTTTCTCATACATTTTTACCAGAAAAAAATACAGTGATGTCTTCTAGGATTCAGGAATCTGGAACTAAAGAGGGAAAAACAAACCCCAATTTTTAAATACTAGTTTACAAACTAGCCAGAGAGAAGTGTTGATGGTCTAATTTTGGTTTCGCTTTTTGGAAAAGCATCTTGCTATGTAGTTCAGGCTGGGCTCAAACTCATGCTAATCCTCTTGCCCCAGCCTTCCAAGTGCTGAGATTACAAGCATGCACCACCACGCCTAGGCTTGACGGTCTAATTTTTGAAGTAAATACCATATGGTTTTTAAAACACAAAAAAATAAAGGATGATAGTACTAGCAGTGCATAATGAATTATTCTGAGTTATTAACATTCCAATCTCAACTACTAAGGTAGACTTTCATCCAAAAGTATAGAACCTAAAACTATTTAATATTGAAAGAAAATACTTTCATTAGTGTAATCATTCCTAAAATTATAATTCTAATTTTAAAATAGTAAACTTTTATCATCTTTATAAATGTAGTAAGCCTACATTCATTATTCTACAACTTTACTATATTAAGAAGTGAAGTGGCTAAATTTGACTGGCTTAAAAAAAAAAAAGAAGTGAGGTGAACTGTAAAGACTGAATTGTTTATAGGAATACACACATCTGCAGTAATGTCATTGAACTTGGTGATGAATGCATGCTTTACAATATCCACTGCGATTTCTGATGCAACCACCATATAGACATCTGGAAACAGCACCCAGAGATGATCTACAAAGTATGGAAAAAGGGAAGACAATAAAATCTCTTAAAATGAACAGAGTACGTATCACAAAATCAGACATCTGAATTCTCCAGAGCACATGACTATAATATTTTCAATAGATAACACAATTAGCATTGAGTGAGTTACAGCCTTTATCACTTTTTATAAGTTACAGGACACCTCATTCGACAGATTTATTCAGAACCTTTCAGGTGCCAAGTGCTGCTTTCCCTCCAGGTCACAGTGGTACGCACCACACTGTCTGGAGGAGACTGACGTCTTTGGGGGGAGCGCGGGCCAGGAAAGCACTTCATTCAACAGCTGCCTCAGTGGGACATAAGTAGCTAGCAGAGACATGCTGAGGTCAACTGAGCAATTTTTGGCCTCTTTGATCACTGTTATTTAAACATATTGATCAATCACTTCTTTTACTATCACACAGGCTTGCTAAACCTGCTTACCTTTACGGTATTTATTAAAATCTCAATTCAGTGCTAACTAAGCTGATTAAAAGAAACACCAACAGACTACTGCCTAAGACCTAGGAGAAGAATTTAAGAGGGGCCCAGAGCAAGACAATGGATGGCTGGAAACAGTGACAAGGACCTGCAGCACTGTGGCCCTGGGCAGCTGGGGGCCAGGCTGTGCATGCTCAAAAGCAGCTTCGGAGTCTTCATCACAGTGAGCTTTGGGTATCAGGGACTTCTTTCAACAGTAAACTCTGTCACTAACTGCTCCTAACCTTGGGAAAGGTTCTTAATTATCTAAATTACAGTTCCCACACACTTACAAAATAATGATCCACAGGGTCTACATTTCATTGGTATGTGAATTAAATGAGATAATGTATCTAGCATGCAAACTAGTGGCACGGTTTTTATGTTATTAATTACGCTGGGCACCGAGGGAAAGCTTCCATAAATGGCATTTTGGTTTATAGACAAAATAAAATTTTTAAAAAGTGAAGAATGATGAATCCATCAACAGAGTATTTCTTTTATATCATTCTATCTGCCACAGTGGTGAAAAAGGAGATCTAAGATCTTACTGGTTGAAAGCCGCAATTTAAGTGAGAATATGATGTCAAGTGTCTAGGTGATGGGAGGCTCAGGGAGTATTACATCCTGTCCTTTGGTGGGACTGGTGACCCACAGAGGCTCTCAGCATGGGACACACCTGCTCTGCCTTTCTCGGGTGCTGCTGGCTGACCTAGTTACACCAGCATTCTTCAAAGGGATCCATGGCACAAGAAACTAAATGTGGAGGGAGATGCTTTCTCACCACGAATCAGGTGGCTTTTGAACATACTCAGATTAGAACTCATGCTACCCAAATGCAGGGGTGGCCAGGCATTTGGAGTTTTGTGTAGTACTTCATTTACTCTGTGTGAACGAATAACTTGGTTTAAGAGTAAAATCATGAGATACTGTATTTGTTAAGAGCTAGTTACCTGGATTCCAGGAAAACTGTTCCATGTTTCTTAAACACACTATTAGCAAAAGCACATAATTTGTGAATCTTTCCTTAATATCTAAAAAAAAAAGAGAAATATTTAGTGCATAACAATAAATTGGCGAGCCATGGTTCAATTATTATTCCATGTATAAACATCTGTAAAAAAGTACATGTTATGTCTCTGTGTCTGTGAGGTTCTGTTCTAGACTCCATGGATACCATGGATATCCATGGTCAAGCCCTCCTGTAAAATGTAGTGTCTGTAAATAAGCAGACCAAATCTTCTCATACACTTTAAATTGTTTACAATACCTAACACAATGTAAATCCTATTTAAGTGGTTGTTATATTATTTTGTCTAGGGAATGTCAACTAGAAAAAGAGATCTGTATGCGTTAGTACACACGTAATGTTTAATTCTAGAGCAGAAAGGCTGAGCCAGTGCACCCAAGCTTGTCTCAACAGCAAGCTGTATTAACTTGTTTTGCCAATACAGGTCTAGCTTGATCTACAAATTTTCTACGGCTTTCACAACACATCCAAACGATCGAACACATCCAGAATGAGTTATTAAATTTCTCTGAAAGTCTCTTGGGACACAGAAGTTTTCATTTTATAGAGGAAAAACAGAAACAGTAAAATATAAGACTTTGGGCAACACAGTCCTTGACTGATAACCACGCCCGGGAGAACCCCTTAGCTATGAGAATCCTGGTATTACAAGAGTATTTGTTAAGTTGTATGTAGAATGTGGGGACAAAATTAGATTTTCCAATGTTTATTCTAAGTTAATAAACTTGTACTCTGAGACTGATCTGCATGAATTTAATGAAAGCAAGTAATTTAATTTTTAGTAAAGACTAGTTTACAATTTCACTTTGCAAGCTCTCACTTTCTCCACGGAGTCTAAGATACCACCTGAGAGATGGGGTGAAAACCAGCTACCCCTGCAGTGTCACGCATGCACCACTGTCCACGCCACACACCAGCCCCCATCTCTGTCGCACTCCTGAACCTGGCTCCCTTCCCTTACTGCAGACTGCGCCTGTCACTTAACACCAGGCTCACCCACACCACCAAGGGTACGAGTTCAATTTCACCTCGAAGTCATTTACAAGTCTTTCTTTGCTTCTCTTTTCCTGTTTTCACAGGTTTCTGTACTCTACAGCAAAATGATTTAGAGCTTTTCGTCCACGGGAGAACCTTTGCCTCTGTACTAAGCTGACCTCCACACTGTGCTTCCTTGACTCCTTCCTTTTCCAGGCAGCTGCTGGGGACTTCTCTGCTAGGGTGGCTCAGCTCCTAGCTGGGACGGGCCTGGGTTCTCTCCCGCCTTCAAAGCCCTGAGAGCACAAGCTGCCGCTTGAATCCGAATCGTAACCTGGAGTTACTCCTCCTGCAATGCCACACTTCAGGGCTTACACTAAGGGCAATGAGTCTCCAGGTGCAGGCCACGGATCCGCCTCCTGCGAAGGTGCAGGAGAGCTGAAGGAAGTCCACAGGGGGTTTTCAAGTGCACACGTTTTGAGTAGTTCCAGATCACAGGTCCAACTTATTTTGTGATTTCAAAGGCAATATAGGCAAACTAAGCTAGAAGTCTTCCCAAAGTTATTTTTATCAAAATCTGACACAAAATGCTACCTATAAGTTAACTATGGATCTTAATTTGGGATTACTTTTTTTTAATATACCTTGGAATTCTCTACAATTCCCAAACCAGTCTCCGTATATGTGCTAAGTCCTTTCTAAATTCCATAAATCAAGTTAACAAAGAAATGTACTTATTTTTGACCCTCCTACTAAGTATAGATATATAATACCAACTTGACTCATTCTATAATTATCTAGAATGATACTGCATTGGAAAATTGAGAATATTATATGAAATAAGCCAAAATAACATTTAGGAACTCTAATAAAACAAAAACAAAGGTAGCATTAAAATTAATCTTTTCTGACTCTTGGACACACGGCGGCTGCCAGCAAAGAGAAAATTTGCAATCATTTTATTTCCAAGGATGAAAAACCAAAGTGGAAAAACCTCACTTATTAGGGGATATTTAAGACAAAACATTTTTGTAATGTACATTATTTTAAAATATGATACTGATTAATAAAAATAAGATATTCTGGCAGATGAATGCAATTTTATAATACAGATGTAAAGAAAACATTATTTAAGAATTCATTTTCAATTTAACTGTGAAAATGAAATGCGATTAAAATTTTTTTCTTCTTGTATATTTAGCTTCAGTGTTTCCATTAAAGTGTTTTACATATTCTAAAGCCAAGATTTTACTTAAAATTTGACGTTGAGAAAGTTCTAATAAAAAACTTTTTTTACATAATGCAAAGAACATATTTATACCACATCTCATCCTGAGTACAGCAAGGACTTTGGGACTGAACCTTTATGTGGCTTAAAAATTATACCTTCTACCAAATGAGGAATGTTTTGCTCTTACTAAGGAAACTACAAACACTAGTGAATAATGCTTTTAAGAAATTTCTAGGGCCAGGGACTTAGCTCAGCAGCATAAGCGCGTGCCTGGCAAGTGCGAGGTCATAAATTCGATTCCCCGGTACCCACATACTAAAAAAGATATTTCTAATATTCAGACTGTTAACCTCCTTTTCCTCAGGTACATTACCACTAGCAGAGCTATACTTCAACAGATTTATAGCTGTAGTTTATGTGGGCAATGGGTGACATCTATTTCCAACAACTTTCAAAGCTACTGCAGATGTTTAAGGCCTCTGTGAAGAGGGTTAAATGTCCTGATGGACTGATTTGTGAATAATTATACAGATTGCTGCATGCTGTTCACATTGCTAATGGATAAAACACTGTAAAAATTTTCATCCTAGGAATACAAATCAGAGTTTCCTAAGTTTCACATTCAACTGGTGCTTAACATTTAAATGGAGTGGAAAAAAGGATGAATTGTTAAAAATCTGGTTGTAACTAAACTCCACTTCATGTGCCCTCAAGGCAAGGCCTCTACAGAAACTGCAGTCAGCTAATGCTGGAAGGAAAAAAAGTTACTCTAAAACTTCCAAATAAAACCTTCCAGTTAAGCCAGTCAACGTACTGAACTGTGCACTATGCGTCTTGTCTGTAGCTCAGCTCTGGGGGGAGAGAGCGCACAGGACGGTGAGGTGGGAGTCCCTGGTGGGCAGCTGTACAGGGGACAAGGCACTGTGCCCCTCCTCTCACCCCTACTACCTGCAATGGTGCCAACATTGCCTAAGCTGACTTTTCCTTACTTGGGAATTGAGTTTTAAAAATCACCTTCGGGCAACATCAACCTCTTATAAGATGTCAAGGGTCCAATGCAGACCACTTTGCATTGGGCCTTAATTTTACTTAAAAAAAGCAAAACTTTTTGATGCTTTATTAACCATTTTAAGCCAAAATATACTGATTTTTTGTGATCTGATGTGCATACCTGAGCAACATGCTTGCTTTTTGTTTTTCAGAATCTTCCTAAAACTATGTTATTAAACACCCAAACAATATCTCTAAACTAAAAGATTGAACTTGAATGACCTATTTATAAAAGAAAGAAAAGAGATATTAATTATTTCAACATGGTGGTGATAACGTTAAAAATCACACCTTACAGTTTTAAGGATCTTTTTTTTTTTTTTTTTTTTTTTTTGTCTTTTTCATTTTTATCGGTACCAGGGATCGAACTCACGACCACCTGCTTGCAAGGCAGGTACTTATGCCGCTGAGCTAAATCCCCAACCCCAGTTTTAAGGATCTTAATAAAAGACTGAAAACTCTTTAACATTTAAAATTTACATGCCTAGAATGAACTCATACAAAGGGTATGTACTTGAAGCAGGTCATTAATATAAATTAATGAAAATTATTTTTGCAAAGGTGAAACCCTTATAGTTGAATCAATATATTTTATGGTTAACAACTTCAAGTGGTTAACAAAATACTTCCTCTGAGCTCCTTTCCCCTTTTCCCTCCCAGCCTCTTTCATTCCGAATTCATTTACCTGGTCCCACGCATACGAGAGGAAAGACAGCATGAACTGCTTACAAGCCGTGGAGACCCGGGTCCAAGGTGGACCGCAGACACCTGGCCAGTGGTGGCAAACTCACGGCATGCGTGCTGCAGTGGGTACGCAGAGCCCTGTCTACACACGAGTTGAGTGTATGAGTTGTTACTTTCTGAACTAAAGCCTCACTGCTCAGGGTTAACTGCAGAGGTGGCGCTCTGTGATAATGAGAGGGCTTGGAGTTGCAGTTTGGGGACCTGGTCTCTGAAAGGTTTGCTATCACTGTCTTAGACTTTATTCTTAGTTTTCCATCTATTCTTTTTTATGCCTTGCCTAGTTTTAAAATCTCCTACAGTTCAAACTTTTGTTTGTTTTAATATGCCATTATTTTTCTTTACAAATATAGAAGTTAAAGTTATATATAATGAAATGTATAGGTCTTAAGTACACAATTCAGTGAGTTCTGGTAAATGCTTACCTGGACTGCTGATCTGCCAGTTAAAGAGTTCTATTGCTATCTTAAATCTTTTGGTAGTGCTGTTTGCCTTTTCACTTTCTTACTACTTTTAATGAGTATAAGTTTTTAATTTTGAAATCAAATTTCTTATTTCTTCTTATGGTTAGTGTTTTCTGAGTGGTCTCTAAAAATGTTTTGTGGTGGCACATGCCTATAAACCCAGGAATGGGAGGCTGAGGCAGAAGGATCACTGTGAAGTCAAGGCCAGCCTGGGCTACATGGTGAGTTCAAGGCCAGCCTGAGCCACGAGAGAGACCCTGTCTCAAATACTTCCTCCCAAAACACTTCTCTTATCCAAAGGTTGTGAATATATTCTCCTACATTTTGTTACAAAATTTTTTATTTTAAAAAGCAACCAACCAAAAGTAGGATATTGACACTAGTTAATACAGTGCACATTGTTATCCCAGAAATAGATGTTCAGGTTACAAGATCAGGCATGAGATGTGCTCTAGAAGTTTTACAATTCAGCATTTATATTTATGGAAATGAATTACTTTCATTTTTTGGGAGAAGGTGAAGTCAAATTTCTTTCTTGAGTAACTTTTATTCAGATGCTTCAGCACTACTAGTGGGAAAAACTCTTCTAAGTATTAGTTTGTTTTAGAAAATTATTTTTGATCACAATGTTATTTAGCATTTATGTTTACGGAAAGAATCACTTTGAATTAATTTTAATGAGAGTCGCAAGAAGAATCTAATTGTACATACCACTATTTGACATTTGAAAGAGATTGTTCTTTTCAAACTTCTTGAAAACACTTCCTTTAATTTCAACAAACTGAAATAGTAAACAGAAATATCTTTATCATTATAACAATTTTAAAAATTGACTGGCCAAAATAAAATCTAAACCATAAATATAAAATTTCATGAAGAATAAATGACATATAGAATAAAAAATTTCATCTCATCCACAGTATTTCACTGAAGTAGCTTTATAAACTAAAACATAAAATGAGATCTCATACTTACATTGTTAGACATCATGATGGTAAGCAGTGATTTGTTGTGTGAGTTAAAAGCTACATTGAGAGTTGTTGCTTGAACCATTATGAGAATTGCATGCAAGACTAAAAGTCTATCAAGGAAAAAACTTAAAATTCATTTCCATATTATTAATGGGTAATATTATAAAATTCTGAAAACAAGTAATAGGACAAGTGACTATATTTTCTAAATCAAATTTTATGAAAGTGTTTTACTACATTGTAATTTCTAGGTTAGCTATATATTTCTAGGTGAGAGATTTGACAGAATAAAATGGGATTATTTTGTTCTTTTTGTACACTGGGCACTTAGCACAGTACGTGGGAAATAGGCTCTCAAAAAAGTGTGTTAAAGTAAAATAAACCATGGTAAATACTGAAAGAGGAGACTTTGGAATTGAGATAGTTTCAACGTTATAAAAACACAAAATAAAAGCCCGGAAGTCTCTCTTTTCACCAGTTCTTCTGGGAACATGAAAAGTTAAAGATAGTCCGCAATGTCTGAAAATTAAGATTCTTCTTTGTAAGACTGGCAGAGCTATATTCACTTTATACCTGGGAAGGTTAATTTGTATCTCAGAATGGTAACTGGTTGACTCCACTAACTTCAGAACGAGCTTCTGCTCCTCTAGATACTTTCCCACTTATTTCCTTAACTTATAAGTCGATTGCATGTGGAACTTAACAGTAGCTATGCATGTTTGTGTAAACATATGTATGGTGAACACACGCAGTAAAGTTATATGTATAGTAAAACTATGTGAACCCTCCAAAAGAAAAGCTTTGAGCCAGGGGTACTCAATGCATACAAAACTGTCTCCAAAATTCTAACCAAGAGTTCATACATAGAAAGATAATTCCAACAAAAATTCTAAGTATGGAAAAGTTACATAGCTTTCTATATAGTGTAAAGGCTTTTCATTACAGAATCCTTCCTTAAGAACAGAACATTTTGCAAGCAGTTCAAAGGGTCGTGCACATACAACGCTCTTTAAACTCAACTACAATTTCGATTACCATTTCTCAAAAGAAGGCAGATGCTTCACAATCTTCAGGATGTACATACACACACACACACACACACACACACACACACACACAGACACTTACTTTTTAAATCTATGTAATGGATAACCAAGTAAAATAAGACAGACCACACCCTGACTGCTGGGGTTTCCAGAAGTCTAAAAGGATACACACATAGAGAACAGCCATGAAGAAGTGAGGAATCACCCCGATGTGGGCTCTCTTCCTTTCTTTAGGCTCTGTCGCCGTCCAGTAGAGAGCATCTAGTATATCTTGTCCAAATGATGAAAACAGCCGATCGGCTACCTACAGAGATACCAGGAAGATGTCACTTAATTGTCCATTTAAACATATTACTGGAACCGGTGCACTGTGAGCACTGGACATCTGATTTTTAAATCACAGGGTTAGACAAACAAAAAAGCATCTTTGTTGACTTATTTGCTCATATTTCTTTATTCTTTGGCACATGATATTTGCAAAATTTGAATCAGGCTCTGCTGTTTGTAACAAGGAAAATCTTAGCAGCAAAAGAGGTGGCAGCAGGGAGACCTGTGCCTCTGGCTTTAGCACTTTAAATTTAAATCAGGATTCAAACCTGAACTTTTCAGGATACATGGACCATTTGACTCACTCTATGCACACCTATTACTGGTAAACAATGCACTGTATTTGTTTAAGTTTAGTATTCTAGAATATAATATGCAGATTTCTTTCCAAAGGTGTTTCCGGTACTGAGCTTGAATTCTGTGTAGCACAGGGGCATATAAGAAGGACAGCAAGGCACTCTAGTTATTTTCAGGAAGTCAGCTGGAACACTAACTTCTCAGAGAAGCTTTTCCAGACCATTCTGTCTCTTGTGAGTCCCGTGTTCTCTTCCGAATTAACTGGTTCTTTCCCATCATACTCTTCATCTTTTATCTTATTAACCTCTCCTTGTTTTCTGTCCGGCTCCCATCTGTGGAATACAAACCCTACGAGAACAGGCTTGTTCACCTGTGGATCTTCAGAGCCTAACACCAAGGCATGCAGGAAGCCCAGCGAAGTGTGAGCTGCCTAAGAAAGAGCTACCTCTCTGGATGCTCCCATCCTGTGGATGACCCAGGGCTAAGTCTTCTGTATCATCATGATCCTCACAGTGCCCTACGATCTCTACTTTATGCATGAAAAATGACAATTATATCACCAGCAGCCGTGTCTAACATAACCAGGTACTAAGAGAAGGAGACAGAGGACTCCTATCTCCTATGCTTACACCACATTTTTAGTCATAGTCTATGAAGCAATAGCAACCATAACAACCGGCAATTCATGGATCCTTCTAGTTTATTTTCTAGTAACAACCACAACACCACCTTCGAGAGGGCTGTGAGTGAGAAGCCACACACTGAGCATGGAGAAGCCTCTGGGTCCTGGGATCCCCTAGGGAAGGGGACAGTAAAGGAGATTAGCAGGGCACCAGCGACAGGACTGGCGACCAAAGCCTACGTCTGCTTTCCCATGAGGAGGGGGGCAGAAGTCGGCTGTTGAACTTCACAAACTTCTCTCACACTCACACCTCAGCAACCTTGTTGACGGGACAAAGCAAGACACAGGAGTCAAGAAGCTGGGGTGCAGTCTGAAAGCACCATGGAACCAGGACAGCTTGGGATCCCATGGCTTCCGTGAACTAATGGGAAGCTCACCTCCGCCACGGCAAGGCAGCAGAAAGGGCTGGTGCCCCACATCACGCCGCCTGTCTACTTACTAGGAAAAAATCTCTTCACAGTAATCTAAAAGACAGACCTTACTAACAGTAATCAAAAGTTCCTAAAAAGTAGTATAGGTGGGGTCGAGATGTGTCTGGCATGTGAGAGGCCCTGGGTTTGATTGTGAGCATAGCAAAAAGGAAAGAAAATGTTGTAGAAAAGTGCAACTTGCACTTCAGAGTTTGTTATATAAATCTAGGATAGTTTGCTATATAAAAAACCTATTAAGATACTGCTTTTAAGGCATAGTTCCTTCTTATAAAGCAAACACATAACTGTTCAATTTACTTTTTGTGTAAATACATATTTTCACACACTAACTGCTTTAAAATAAAATATATTTTTGTATTAAGAATGCCAAATTCTTAAGAGAAATTGGGGAAACTAAAATTTTCAAGTCATTTAAATGTAAATTAATTAAAGCAATACATTACAGTATATACGTATTAAAATACACATATAAAAATTGTAACATTTACTTTGTATTCTCTAAATTTCTAACAAAAAGTACACATGGATTTCTAATGAATTTGCAAATTTCTTAGCTTTTGCCAGCCCACATTCTCTAAGGAATACTGATTAGAAAACCACAGGCAGCAAACCTTTTCCTTGCTGTGCAGCTGCTACACTGTGTCAACTTGAAAAGTTTAGAACTTTAAGAGAGACTCAGCTTGGAGCCAGGCTCCTTACTTTGTGAATGTTCTCATCCTATGCAAGAGGAGATCAAGGAGACTTTGTGAGTGCTATACTTGCCCTGGAAGGGGTACCCCATGTATAATATAAGGGAGGAAGAGGTTCATTCTTTCCCTTTTTTGTTCTACCTGTTTTTGTTGGCTCCCCCTTGAAGTGTTATCCTGGTGCCATGCCACCCTGCCTTGGAGTCAACTGATTATGAACTGAAACTTCCACAAAAGTGAGCTAAATAAATCTTTCCTTCCTTCATTTTGGGTGTTGGGTATTTTCTGCCAGCAATGAGAGAAAAATAACCAAGACAAAACTTGGTGCCAGCGGAGTTGTTGCTGTGACTATATCTGAAAATGTAGTTCAAGAACCTTTGGGAGTGGCTTGTGGGAAGTTTGGAAAGGTTTGTGGATGTCACCTGAAACAGTAGCCCTGGCTGTTCTATATGGGAGATTCTGGTCAGAGCTCAGAAGACCAGAAAATCAGTAAAGACCAAGCTTGGAGGTTTCTATCAGGAAGGACTGTATTGGGTGGCAGACTCGTGAGGATGTGTATTATGGCTTGGCAGAAAGTTTGTCTACATTTTGCTCATGTCCAGAGACTTTGCCTGAAACGAAGATGAAGGACAGTGGACTGATAATCTGGCAGAAGAAATTTCAAGGCAGTCAAATGTTGAGGCTGTGGCAGGACTATTGTTGGGGGCTTTTAGCCAGGTTTATGTTGTGAATCAGAAGCAAAGAGCCCAGCAGGATGATTTGAAACATTGTGAGCTTGGCCAAAAAAGAAGCTCTAATAAAGCTGGGATCTGCAAAGGTAGAGCTGAGGAAATCGCAACTGTTGAGAAGGAACAGGACAATATAAAGGATGGTCTGAGGGCATCACAAAAAGCAGCAAGTTTCAAATCTTTGCAGCCTCAAACCTGAGAAAGTGAAAGACTGCTCTGAGGTAAAAGCTGCAGAGTACCATGTTCCACAATCGTGGTGGTGTAAGAAATGTTTCTCAGAATTGGATTCAGAGTGCCCAGTGATTCAGGCACTGGACCCCTATAGCCAAGAGAGAAGAAAACCTGGCTACAGCTCCAGCTGACAGCAGACCTTGGCATCATCCACATGTTGTTGGTTTTAGATGAACACAGAATGCAAGAGTTCTGAGGTTAAAAAGGCTTCCACCCAGATTTCACAAGGCCTGGGAGGTCAAGTGGTATGCCTGTGAGATGGTAGTATGCGAAGCTCTGTGAAGCCAAAGGTGCTGTGGAGACTCCAGAAGTCTGGAAAAGCCAGGTTATCAGAAAAGCTGCAAGAAGAGAGCAAAGCGGGCCTACAAGAGAAGCTGTGGGAACTACAACCACCAGAAGTGCCACAGAGGTGGCATTATGGAAGCCTTCTGGGGCTCACAAGCAGGTTGTTTGTGACATGCTTGTGACAGCAGTTGCTGGACATGCAACTCCAGGATTTAACACCTGCCCTGCTGGGTTTTGGATTGCTTTGGTCCCAGTGCTTTGTAGCTCCATTTGTTCGTTTTGGAAAGGGAATGTTGAGCTTGTGCAATTGCATATTGGAAGTATTTAACTGAGTTTTCATTCGTAGGAGGGCTTAAAACTAAGAGTTTTGTCTTACATCTCAAGTAGAGTTGGGAATTAAGACTTTTCAGCAATTAAAGGGATGTGTATTAGACTTTGGGGGCGCCAAGGACAAACTGTTATGATTCTAATGTAATATAATATTGACAGAATTAATGCTGATTCTTAAGGATTGTTAAACCTGTGTTATACCATTCAAGTTGTGAAATGATAAAAGTATGCCTTTGTATCTCCAGACTTGTTTAAAGAAATGTGCCTGCTTGTCAAGTTGACAAGGGGTAGACTGTAATGTGTCAACCTGAGAAGTTTAGAAGTTTAACTGAGAGACTTGGCATGGAGCCAGAATCCTTACTTTGTAAATATCCTTTTCTTGTCTTGTGTATGAGGAGAGCAAGGAGATTTTGTTAGTGCTACACCAGCTGGGGTCGGGTGGGGTACTGGCCTGTGTACAACATAAGGGAGGAGAAGAGGCTCACTCTCTCCCTTTTTTATCCTGACTGCTGTTTCTGGCTGTTGCCTTGAAGTGTTGCCCTGGTGCCATGCCGCCCTGCCTTGGAGCCAGTTGATTATGGACTGAAATCTCCATAAACAGTGAGCTAAATCTTTCCTTCCTTCATTTTGAGTGTTGGGTATTTTGTCCCAGCAACAAGAGAAAAGTAACCAAGATCCTTCCATACTGCAAGAAACATGATCCTTGGGATCTGTCTCCTAAGTCCCAAAGCCTACAGGCCTGGTATCCCCTACCCCAGGAGCACAAATACCCCAGGCTCACCCTTGACCCACCAGATCAGAACCTGCAGGATCCTCAAAAGATCAAACTCATATTAAAGACCTTTATCTAAGTTGGGAGAAAAATATTTCACACTTTCAGGTTCCTTGTACACTGGACGACTTGAAGCTATGCTTACTGGCTCAGCCTATGCATTATGTGGGGGTACTGAGGTCCTTACCTCAAGCATGTTGTAGATGATATAGAGCTTGATGACAGACTGCCCCCTTATCAGGTGATACATCATCGAGTAGTCAACATAGTGCATCATGAAATAGGAAATTACCAAAATGACACCCTTCAAAATGTCACACACCTGGGCAGGCTGAAGTAAACGTCTGTCCCTGAAACATATAAGAAGCAATGAAAATATGAGTTATACCTTATGTGTTTTCAAAGTAAGTACTCTTGACTGGACATTCACTTGTAAAGGTAATAACCAGATAGACGTTAAAACCTTAAAACTAAGAAGTCAGGATAAATGACTCTTCAATAGTATGATTTTTTTTCTGCCAACCAATAGCTTTCCATGATAATGGTATAAGTCCTTTTTAACCAATTCTGGAACATATGATGTGCTGCACATTGTATTTTTTTTTTAATTTAAAGAGAAAAGGAAAAAAAAGGACATAAAAAAAACAATGCAGTAAAAGGGTACAAATAATACAGTATTTCAAGAAAAAAAATATATACAGTATGAAATCACCAGTTAATAGGTTACATATTATCTTCCCAGAAACAGTTGCCCGTATTACTAAATTAAAGCATATAAAGTGGACATTCATACAGTAAATTTGGAGACAGTTCTGTTCAATGATCCAACAAAAACTCAGTTATATGGTTTTCCATCCTACACACTCGAACATACCTGCGGTTATATCCCCTAGTCCACCTTACTTTCCTCTCTTTTTTACAGTAACAATTAGACTTTTAGGGTTTTATTACTCTCACGGTTCTTATTACTTTTTTGAAGAGAATAAAACCAAAGCACACTGTATTTTTAATGTAGTGGTGCATACTGGTTCATAAGGAAACCATATTTTTATGGCAGCAGAGTTATCGTCATTAGGATGCACCCTTAACAGAACTCCGGTCTTTTGCAACTACAAACTATGGCATAAATTTCATGTCATGTCTCACAAATGAAAGTATATCTACAGGATAAATTTCTAAACTTGATGTTTCAAGGTTACATTTCCTTGATTTTTGTTGTTGCTTGTTTTTTTGAGACAGAATCTTACTGTGTAGTTCAGGCTGGCCCTGAACTCACCAAAATCCTTCTGCCTCCCACACATTGGATTTATAGGAATGCACCACCATGCCCGGTCTGCTTGATATTTTGAAAAAACAGCTGGTGGATCCTCTGTAGGGGTTGTACCAGTTATACTTCTGCCAGTGATGGGATGAGAAAGCTTGTGATGACCATCAAAGCAGTGTGTTTATCCATTTCTGGGTCTTTGTTAATCTCCAACTGGTATCTAGTAAAGTGACACAATGTTAATTTCTCTCTGTAGGAGACTGAACATCTTTTTTGGCATTTAAGAGTTGAATTCTCTCCTGCCTTCTTTTTGTACTGGTTTATGGGGCAGTTATTAAAGTTAGTTCTCTGTGACATAAACTGAATTTTTTTTCAAAATATGAAAAGAATTATTACTCTGAAGTCAGAGTGGAAGAACTAAACCTAAACAGTGGAAGGGAACATCTTAATAAGACAAAACAAAAACTACATTTAGCAAAGAAATTTAGGATTTCTTTTACTGGATATAAAATTACTAAAACAAAAATGGAAAGATGCTTTCTCTATGTCTGCTGCAGACCCAATCCTCAAGACAGAGAAGGCTTTGTCTTATTTGGCAGTTTTGTTATGTAGCACAATCAATTAAAAAAAACACAACTGTTGTACTTCCTTTTATAGATCTCTCACCAGTCATGATAGCATTCTATATAACTATATAAGAACTATATAAGAACTATATAAGAAGTGAGCTCACTTGCTGCTCAGCCACTGGCCTGTGAGCCATCTACTCATGACTGTGTATTACAAGGCTACCTATGTGCCGAAGTGCCTTCGTGTCTGGACTCGACACTCATATCAGAGATGCTTTCATCAAAGATCAACAAGGAATGTGTAAGTCTTCCAAGCTGCTACCTGAAACATGGTTTCAGGGGACAGTGACCACGTAGTACTAGGTCTGTGAGCAGCTGGAACAGAGCTGCCTACTTTTCTACAATGTAATCTGAAGCTGGCAATGAATGAAAGACAGAACATGAGGTCGTGCCAGTCCCAAACAGAGACAAACCAAGAAGAGGCAGAAGTAGAATTAGAGAAGTTGGATTGATTCAAGCCTAAGCGGGACACAGGTCTTGACACTTAGGGCTAAAGTCAGCTACAGGCAAAAGTGCACCATTTCGATCTCTATCATTCTTTGTCATGCTTATTTTCTTTTCTCCAATGCTGCCCTTTCCCGAGTCTGGCCACTTTCTCCTCATGGCACGCGAGTGAGCTTCATCTTCCAGCTCTCACACCCAGCCCAGAGCACAGATCCCTGCCAAGCGCTACCTGACCTTGTAGGTTATTTCTGTCCCTCCCCCTCACAGGTCTGAGACTAGAAGAGTGATTCATTCTATCAAGAGTGAATTCAGTTCTAACTCAAACCCAGAGAGAAGGAAATGTTTTGAGCTCCTGAGCCCCTGGAGTTCACCTTATGCTTTAATTGAGTTACTAAGCTCCAATAGCCAGGGCCAAACCGTGAGACGGCAAAGCAGCCTACACACCTCCCCTCCCTTCCACGGAAGTGTGTGTGCTGCTGTCCTGCAAGACTCGTGGGCACAGCTCCACAGATAATGAAAATCGCACAGCAACAACAGCTGGGCACTGGAATTTAAGAACTTTGGGTCATATTTCATGATTAAAAAAAAAACAGGAACTAAAAGTACAGTAGTATTAAGTGAGGTACATTAAGTGCTAAAATGGTTTTCACAAATGAAGAAAACTATACTAAAAGTTTCTGGTATTAGATTGACATCTACCTAGTTAAATGATCTAAAAGTGATTTTATTTAAGAGATAAGGCGGTCTTGCTGCCAGGTATGAAGGCACATGCCTGTAATCCCAGCACTCCAGAGGCTGAGACAGGAGAATCCTTGTGACTGCAAGACCAGCCTGGGCTACAAATTGAGCTTAAGGCCAGCCTGAACTGCATAGTGCGACCCTATCTTTTAAAAAAAAAAAAAAAAGGCAACAAGGAAGTCTCTTGGTATACATTCAACTGTATTCCTTTATAAACATTACTGCAACAAAGGAACAATCTGTTAGTATAGTGTATATCTGGAAAAAAAAACCTGTATTAATAAAAGTTATTGGTAGAAATTAAATCTGCCAAACAATGGAAAGACATCAAAATAATGTAATACCACAGTTTCTGAACCTAGATGGTAAGTCAAAATTTATTTAACAGGGGCTGGGGATTTAGCTCAGCAACGTAAGCACCTGCCTGGCAAGTGCAAGGTCATGAGTTCAAACCCCTCCCCCCACACACACACACAAAAGGCAAAAAATTAACAGCTTTAGTTTTATGTTACCTAGCATTAAATAGGGTTGAAAAACAAAAATTGTAGAAACACCTTATGCTATGTCAGTAACTACATAACAGACATTTCACATACATTCATTCATTTGACTGTGAATATATTCACATAAGTCAGTTACTACGCAACAGGCACGCAAACACATTCAGTCACTGAGAATAACCCTAGAGACATGCACCACTGCCATCCCGACAACACAGAGACAGCCACGGAGCTAGGCATACCCTGTGGCTCAGCAGTCCCCAAGCTATCTGTGGTGAGCAGGGCCAGAGCCTGGGCGGCCTGGCTCAGCAGGGCTGCTCTGCATGACCCTCTGGATTCAAGATTTCTTTCTAAATTGTTCAGAATTACATTCTTAATGAAAAACTAAGAACTAAGATTTCTTAACAAAATAGTATGACAATAAAAGTAGTTAATACACTGTATAGCATAATCTTAAAGTTAACCAGGGTACAAGACACTGACAAAAAAAAAAAAAAAAAAAGAACTTCTGAACTTACTGAATCAACTCAGTGCCTATCTTTCAGCAACATTTAACAGCACATAATTTATCATTTGGAAAAACTGCTAAAAACCAAATATGCCTCTCACTTTATTCTTTATTTTATATATAGTCACAAATATAAATACATACAACTATCTATCTATCTATATATTTCCTTGGATTCTGTTATCTAGGTACACCTACCTCTGGTAAAAATCTTTTGTTGCTCATAACAGAACTTGTTGCCACAGAGATGACAATGACAATGATTTTCAAAATTAACAAACAGTATTTAAATAAAGACCAAAAGAATTAGAACCTTTTGGAAACAAGGATTTTGCGCATGACTGCGTGCTTGCAAGGTAGAAAAAAGTTTAAAATATTTTTAAGATGGTACAGTGCAAGATGCCTACACTATCATAGCCTAAGAAAAGACCTAACCCACAAATAATTTTCCCCAATTTAAACAGCATGATGTTCTTTTCTCTAAGAAGCTTATCTATGGCCCTGCCTATCACCCTGGAATTGACTTCTGAATAGTATTAGCAGACAAAATTTTTTGTTACTAACACCTTTTAAATGATAATACTGATCTGGGTGTGGTGGCACATGCCTGTAGTCCCAGCACTTGAAAGACTGAGGCAGGAGGATCATTGCCAGTTCAATACCAGCCTGGACTACAAAGTGGCTCAATGCCGGCCTGCCCTGCATAGTGGGATCCTATCTCAAAAAGACAAAAAAAAAAAAAAAAAAAAAAAAAAGGTAGTTAACTGGCAATTCTTTTTGTGAATGTAGAAAATCCTGAGTGGAACATGTTGGGCAAACTGGAAAACACAGTAATCTAATTTACAGGTTTGGCTGTGTATCACAGCAAGTCAAGTAGTATTAAATAATGTACTCAACAGAATTTAACTATTTTAAGTTAAACTACCCTTACAGAAATCAAATTCTCTGCATTCCTAAGTTTTGCCTTTCATTCCTATAAATATTTCCACAGTATTTTTAGTAATTGTAATTTATAAATTACAATGTAAATTTTACATTGTAAAATTTACCATTTTAAAGCCTTCCTAAAGGATTCCTAGATTTATGGGAGCAGAATTACATTGCAGAGAAGGATGATCAAGGGTAGACTTTTTCCTTCCCTTCGTTAGCAGCCCGCTATTAAAATGTAAATTAAAATGAGAATCGACAGAAAGAAAAAGGCAGCAACAATAATGAACAAGAGAACCAGGAGAATTCTACTGGTTAATTTCAAATGAGTATTGAAGAA